GAACAGTAAACCAAATAGCTACATATCCAGTGAAGGATCGTATTTTAAAGTGCTTAGCTTCAAGCTCGTGAGACAGAGAAAGAGCTGACATGTCTTTTCTCCTCCTGCCTATGAGAGAGAGAAGAGCATGTCTTGGTGTTAAATTTAGAGTGAAGATACCAAAATACAAAAGCCACAAATCAGGGGACAGAACTTAAAGGCAGCCTTTATACAGGCTCCGCAAAAACCCAAATGAATGCACACCCCTCAGCCCCGCTGATGGAGATTGGTGTCCGCTTTTTAGGTTTATTCCTTATTTATAATGGAAGTCATGTGACTATGGAGGTAAAAACAGACGTACTTGTCATGATAAGCATTAATCTTCTGTACTTTGTTTCCTCTTTAAACCATTACTGTGTTCTTTTGGCCCCAAACAGAGCTGTAGCCAGCAGTAACTTTAGTCTGTCACTTGACCTCATGTGCTCTACTTCAGACATCGTTTTCCTAGAATGACTCTTTCTTCAGCTGTCTGTCGTGTTATCTGTATGCTGTAACAGTGATCTCTGGAAAATATCTGTTTGTAATTGGTCATCTTTTGTTGCCTTTTCTGTTACCTAGAAGTTGCTAAGTGAAAAACTTTGTAATGAGTATTATCCTAAGCATATGACTCTGAAAGATCATCTCTTACCTGCATTTATAGTAATACCATAGATTACTAGAACTGTAAGACTTCTGAAACTCTAGTTGACTCGTCATCTTTTATACTCAGCTAGCCCTTGAAAAGACCGGAATTTCTGAGGTGCTTGGCATTAGTGTAACAGTAAGAAGGAAAGGACCAACAGGCCTTTAAAACATGCTCCTTATTTAGGAGAAAAAAGACAACAGCTCTGTTTGAAAAGCTGGTTGCAAATGCTGAGGATTTGAATACTAAGGCTTGAGAACCTTGAGAAACTGTCCTGGTCTAGTGTCCTGCAGCTTTCCATGAGCTTGCATTTTCGAGGTGTGTGCTTGTAAAACATCATGCGCGCCAGTAATGCAATCCTTGCGCCAAAATATTTACTGTGACAGGCATGAATGTGCTTCACTTAATTTGTTTATGTTTTTAAGAAGTAGTGCTATCTCTTTTAAAGGAGTTTTGATAAACTTGCTAACTGCACAGTGTTACTTCTCCAAACATATCTTCCCCTAACAAAAGGCTCTGTTATTATGAAACAGAATTCTTTAGTAGTCAGCTTGCACCTTAATGAGTCATTCAGATAAACAGGTTCTAGAGAAGATTGAATTACGATCCTATTCAGCTGACACAAAGCAACCACTAGTTCTTCTCAGGAAACTCGTGAATAAATAAAAGATCCTGTGCTTCCAGGCCCAAGCCTAAGATAGAAAAGGTAACAATGCATGCTTTTCAGTATGTCCTGCAAGTATAGCCTTGATGTTGCCGTCAGAATTAGGTTGGTGCTGAAGAAGACATCGAATTTTATGCAAGTAAGGACATTTAAAGGTACGTGGGAACGTGGGGGTGAGAGTGGAAGTATCTATCATTAACTTGGAGCAATCTGTTAGACAATAATCTCTGATATTTAACTTGTGCATAGAGAATGCAATTCATATGTCTTGCCATTTTGTGTGTGGAGGGGCTTTATGCAAAGTTCTTTTTAGAATTCTGTTTTAGTGAAAAATAAAACTTCTGAAATCTTTGGAAGAATTTATTTCTGCTTATCATCTACTGCTACTGAGGCCAGTAAGTCTGCCTTCAGAATGTGAGCTCTTCTCCATTGTTGTATTATAGTTATTAGCATGACTTCAGACTCTGGTCAGAGTTGTGTTACGTACATATAACAACAATAATGATTTCTCTGAGAGGTTTACAGTTTAGCAGGTGACAGAGCGTGAATAGGACAAGGAAAAGGAGTGTCATGGAATGACTCTGGCCAGGATGAGAAGCATCCTTTGGTGTGTAACCTTGGCGTGTCAGCCGGCTGAGTTTTCACAGACACCGAAGCAACGGAGAATTTTAATGAGAATGATTGAATAGCTTTTGCAAATGCTTATGGGGAAGCTTTTTCTGGGCACAAGGAAGAAGCACAAAGATGCTTATGTGAAAATTTGTTGACCAGTGAGGGATAAAGGCTGGAATTGTTGGCTGTACAGGGGCAGGAGCTGACATCTTATTAGTTTGTAAGAGGAGGTAGATAGGACAATGCCTAGGTGCTGTTTACTGGGTGGAAGGAAGCTGTTGTCATGTTTCCCTGGCTGATTGCACAGCCTAGTCTGCCGGATCCTAGTTGCGTGATGGGCTGCATTTGAGCTTTTCAGAAATTCTTTCCCACTCTCTCACAATGTAGCTGAAATGGAGCCATCTCTGCCAGGATGGGGGCTCATCTGTATTTAATTTGATGAATTTAATCAGCAAACCCTTTCTACTCAATTTTTATTTTCTAGCTGTTGAACTGCAAACCAAATAAAATATTATGGAGTGATCCCTCACGTCTGTGAGCAGTTGCAAGCCTGCGTCACAGCCTTGGTTGGAATACCATTTATTTCTGAAAGTGTTCTTTCAAGAGCTCTAAAATCTTTATGCACAGATATTTTGACCTAAATACTGCAAAAGACGGATGTGAAGATGGAGCATGTGGTTCAGACTTATGAAGAGTTAGTGCAAAAATGAGAAGACACAGAACCAATTCTTACCGATATTAACTGCAAAACATCCTCTCCTTTCTGCAGGAGTAGGAACATGCCTGATATTGGTTTCAGATTATGGAGTCTTGCAATTGGAAGTATACTAAAGGCAGATTAAATTATTTTCTGCCAAATGTGCGTATTTAAATGGCAGTTCCCAAAAAGTCAAACATGGTGGCAAGGACCTCAGATTAGTAAATCTTTCCTTTCAGGCACAAAGAAATTCAACCCACAAAAAACCAAGATGGAAAGTTCTGTGTTGAGAGTAGTGTTTATATGAGGAAATGAATAATCATAAACAGAATACTGAAAGTGTGTTGTTAAATACCTATGATATTCTGTGATTCTGTGTGTGTCTTTTAGCTATACAGTTTTTTATTTGTATCATAGTCCTGCCTAGAAACATCATTCAAAAATCACGTGCTCACCAAACAGATTGGAGTCCTGGCTTTGTGATAAAGCACAGTACAAAAGTACAGATGAACGAGTAGTTATCTCAGTATAGTTTGTCTTTTGTATTTAGTTCTTAATAGTGAGAAATTTTGAAAAAAATGTTTCTCTTTACACTCATAATTTCTTTTGTTCATTTAATCAATGCACTTAATACTGATCAATAGTCAGCCTTTCTAATGTATATCTGTGACAAGTAATGCTCTATACGTGCGTTAATTGTGAGGATTTAACCATTCCGATAGAAGATTTTTTCTTGCACATGTTTGCATGCTATCCTTGCACTCAAGTCATTCTATCATTTGCATTATAGTCTTGTAAATTAAGTCTCGCACATAGCAGTTTTTCTGACACACCTGCATCTGATCCTTATGTAGTGGAAACTATTCCAGTATTTGTTAGTATACATGAAGTGGATGTTCACGTAGGTATTGTTATATGTAATCATCTTAGATAGTTATACCTTGATTTACCGAGCTATTTAACAGGCCAGCTTCTCCTGGGAATAGGAGGAACAAAGTAATTGCATTTCAGGCTAGACTTTACATCAAACTTTAATTCATTTAAAACTGTCACAGGGCTGATGCAACATTTTACAGTATTTTTAAGATTCTTTTCTTATTTATTTGCAATCTTTTTTTTTTTTTGAGGAAGCATTAGAAAATATATGTGATTCTTGTTCTCTTGTATTAAATTTATTAAAATTTATTGACCCTTTGCATTTGGGGAGGGAACTGCTTTATTGGATCTTATCTTAGGTTAATAAGCCCAACTGTGAACAATTAGGACCTTACTGAAAGATCAGTGGGAGTTTTTCCATTGTTTTCAGTAACTTTGGATTATGCCTATCTCAAAAATTTATGGTCTCTGAGACAATCTGTAAGTGGTAGTTTGATTGTTTGATTTGTTGATTTGTTTGATTGTTGGCAAGAACAGAAGGTGCTAAGCAAAGACTTAAGTATTTTTGAACTTTCCCAAATTTAACATCTTTTAAGGTGCCTCAGAAACATCTGCCTTTTCAAAAGAATAATTACTTTAAAGTGTAGTCCAGGTGAGGCTGTCATTCTCAAACTTGCCCTAAAAAGGTGTTTGAGAGTGTTGACATCTCTGCCTCCATCCAAAAAAACTTTGAAATATCAAAACCAAAGATCCCTCCTAAGCCAGGGAGCACTGTGAATTCTGTGTGTGAGCTAGCAAAAAACCCAAGGTTTTTAATGGTACTTTGCCTAAGCTTTGCTGAAATTTTCCTGTAACTATGAAGAGATACTCTTATAAACTTGCAGGTTGTAATGATAAATGTTAGTCGGGTTTTTTTTTTTTTTTTTTTTTTTTGCTTAGCTTTATGCCAATATGTTTTATAGAAAAGATGATGAATGAAACTAAATGTTTTCTCCTCTGAAATTCATTTCCTGCGAGGACCACTGACCACACTATGTAAGTCTTATTTTGGAGGCTTATACTGGACTTCAGTCTTGTTGCTTACCCTGACAAAATGTTTATTCAGAAAAGCTCCTTTTTAGGTGTCAGATTCAGTAGAATGTTACCTGGATTAAATGAAAACGGTCAGTAAATTTAGTTTCTGTAGTAAATAGGGAAAGCAAAGTTGAAGTAGTTCTCAAGTATGCACCATTATAAATTCTGAGGTATGTTTGAAAGGATATTATAAATTCTGAGGTATGTTTGAAAGGATATTTGAAGATTATTAGTTTAGTTTGGCTTTTATTGTATACGATGACCATCATTTTTAAGCAGCTTTTGGGAGGGCTTGCTATAAAAAACATATTGATAAAACATATTATGTTGTAGAAACGTTATGTACTAATAGGCTGGTACAAATCAGTTAAACAAACTGATCATTTTGCTTATTTTGTTTGATTCTACACAGTTTGGAAATGATCCGTCATGTTTACAGCCTGCAGCATCGCAAAAAGCATTTGATCGGACCCAGATTTTAGAGGAAACCCAGATTTCTAAGTCTCATGTCACAACATTAAGTCAAGAGTATTGCCACTGGCGGTTTTTAGTAAGTCCTCACTTTGTTTTTATTGTTTTCAAGGCAACTGATGAATTTAAAGACAAATCTAGTTTTGCACACCATGCTGCTTTTTCTTGCATGCGCACTAACACCATTGGTTTGGCAGGGGGAAGAAAGTGTTTCAACTCCACAGTCTTTATAGAAACAGATTCTCTGTATTGATTTCTTCAAATCTGGTAGCTCTGTAGTAGCATTTCAATGATAAAATAAATTTGGACTTGGAACATAATTTTAAGTATGAAAGGAGAGTTTAATACAATTGTGATACAAATAGAAATTGCAGTGCTTTGTTTTGGATGCATTAATACAAGATTGCAGGATCTGATGCTTAATGGTTATGATCAGCATACTTCAATCTGCTTTGGGGTATACATTCTGACATTTGATGCTGAATGTCAGCATATTTTTTCTAATTGAATTTGTATGTGTTTGTACACTGTTCTAATTTTCAAGCACCTTTTGCATGCATAGAAGAATATTTTCACATAAATTTAAAGGCATTTGTATGCATAAAGGGGCAAATTTCTGATTCTTTTTGAAGTCAGAGTTGCAGATGGAACACTACGTTTTGTTTCCTATAATTAATAGCTGTTTTATCTGCTTTTGCTTTCATTACACCAAGGATGTTGCTTTTTTTTGGACTGTAAAATTATGATGTGTATGATTTATTTTCTTTTTTGACTTGGTAATGAAATCAGAAATATTGTGAAGAAGGAAGAAAAGTTTTTGGAGAGAGCCAAATTGAGCTACCTGTCTTTACTTGAATTCTCTGGTCTGTTTTCAGTGGTGAACGCTGCTCTGTGAGTAGAGGAGGAGACCTACTGTGTACAGTTTTGTCCTCTAAAAACTTGCCAGTTGCCTGAGATGACTAGGCCATAATTTCAGATTTGTCCTTTTCATAGAAGTTCCTGCTTAGTCAAGGTACTTCTTTGTACCTTGCCCACGCTGGTATTACCTTTAGCACAGATCAGTGCCTCATACAATTCCCTCTGCAGCTCTAGAAACAGTTGTAATGGCACAGTTTGAAGGTGTGGTATGCATATAGGGAGTGAGTGATGGACAGGTGTCTGGTGCTGATGCTACTACCAGCAGAAACAAACCCTAGCACTTAATAATGCAACAAATAAACTTATGGTGATGTTGGTGGCTTGATGTTTGTCTTTAGTTAAAAAAAAAAAAAAAAAGATCTTTTTGTATGTTTAATGTAGCGTGAATTGAAATTGTGTACCTGTTTGCCTTTCTGCCTGTCTAAAGTGTGTACTCTGCCTTAAAAACAGCAACAATAGGTGGATATACAAAGAAAAAGTTAGTGCAATCATCAGTAAAAGTTGTCATTTTTAAAATAGCAATAAATGGCTGTGGATTGTTAGAGTATATATTTGTGAGAGTGCTGTGACATGAGAATCCTTTTATGAAGTCCTAGGCTTGTAGGAAGTGTCTATATTTTATATATCGTTTTCTAAAACCCTGAAAAAAGCACAACTGACTGACTAGATTCAATAGCTGATATACTGTAGCACAAACTGTTAGTTTTGGATCTCTTTACACTGCCTTTATTCCTTGTTTATCCTTTAGCCCTAAAGAAGAGAATACACTTGCTTCTGTATGTAAAGAAATACTGAAACTTTGTGCCTTGGCTAGGAAACATTTGTCATCTGTTAAAAGTTCAATTTTAGCTAACAGTTGAACCAAGCTGAATTACTCTTTCTTTATCAAGAGTAGAGCATCAGAAGTTGTGTGTTCAGGCGTGCTAGTTCAAGATGAAGTAACTGAAGACACTTCTGTTTGAGTTCAGAGTTATCTGAAACTTAGCAAACTAAAAGTTCCAGAGCTTCGATTTAGATATGTACCTCAGGGCTTTTTATCTCAACCTAGTGCTATTTTAGAGAAATACTTATTTCAGATGAGTTAGGATAACATTATTCTCCAGGGCTATACCAATTACACTTTTTAAAATTCAGTTTACAAAGCAAAACCTGAAAGCTGAAATGTGCTTGCTAGATCTCTTAATGTCCTAACATTGGCATGCATGGCTCTGATTTCCCCTTGCCAAAGATCCAGGTGATTTTATTAGTCTTGAATTATTCTTTGTCTTGGCAAGTAAGTTTACTGTGGTGATAACCTCTTTGAGTGATGTGTAAGAAATGATTGGCTTGTGCATGTTCTGCAAAACAGCAGGCCATGTGTTCAGTGATGATATAATGAGTATTACTTTTCAAAAAACAGGCAAATCTATTTATGATATAAAGTCAAAAAGAGGTCTTTGTAAGAACATGATAAATTTCAATTTAAAGAGTGAAGAAGCATTGAAATCAATCATCTTTGTGATAGAGAAATAGTCAAAAAATAGAGACTTTTGAGTATACTATAGTTACTAGGAATTTTAGTAATATATATTATTTTGGCAAGAGTAGGGATGTAGAGGGTCCAGCAGAAGTTCACTAAGATGGCTAGGAGGCTGGAGTGAGTAAGGGCTAAAGGAGCTGGATTTGTTCAGTGTAGACAAGAGAAAGCTAAGAAGATTGCATTGCTGTCTTCAGCTACCTAATGGATGATTATAGAGAAGACAGAGCCAAACTCTTCTTGGAGGTTCACGGTAAAAGCACAAGAGGCAACAGACAGAAGGTGTAGCAAGGGAAATTCTAATTAGATTTAAGGAAAAAATCTTTAAAATGAGGGTGGACGAACACAAGGGCAGGTTGGCAGGGAGTGTGTAGAATCTCCTTCCTTGGAGAGATTAAAACCTCAGCAGGAGAAAGCCCTGAGCATCCTGATCGAACTCTGACGTTGGCCCTGCTTTGAGCAGGAGGTTGAATTAGATGTCCTCCAGAAATCTCTTCCAACCTAAATTATTCTATTATTGTATAAACCTGAATGCTTGTTTACACGCATTGATTTTCCTTATTTATCTTTATTGACAATATATACCTGTCCTTACAAAATGGACCCACTGCATTTATAGTGAGTTCAAACAGTAATGACTTTTAAAAATTAAATTAGGGTTCAGTAGGAAATACTAAAATCATATTTGGCATTTGACACTATATGGTAACCTTCTGTAGACGGTTAATGATTGTAGGCAATATTCTTAAATCCTCTAGTGAGTTTGCTGTACAACTTTCAAGGTAAAAGGTTCAGAGAAGTTACTGATAAAGTATTGTTCTGTAAGCATGCCTTATAGATGTTACACAGTTTCTACATTCCACCTAGAATGAATTTGTAATTCATTAGTACGTAATTGGAATTATTCCTGTATTTAAACAAGATCTGATGCTGCAACTAGACTTGCATTATGAATATTTACTACTGCGTAGTCTCCCATTTCAAAGAATGAGATATCGGGCCAGCCTAAAAGCACGTATGGCCATATCTGTGTGAAGAATATGCCTATACTGTAAGTCCTTTTAGATTCTTCAGGACTGGATGTTACTACAAAAAATAAGACACAGTAATTTTTTATCTAATGATAATGAGTTCTGAGTAGCATATGTATTGGTCAGTTACTTAATCCACATCTTTCGGTGTCTGAACCATAGGATGTGGTTCATACGTGGCCTTTCATCTTCAAAGCACTTTGCAACTGTTAACTAACTACATTATTTAAAGAAATTTCATAAAAAGAAACCATTTTGGTTCTCATTCCTCTTATATTGCACCTCACGGAAGAGAAAGTAAAAGCTTAAAGTTTTACTCTAACGGCTTAATATTTGAAGCTTGAAGTTCTGAGATGGGTGGTGGATTTATCCATTTGAAGGATATGAGTTTGATTGCATCAGAAGTAATTATGTTTAATATGACAAGAGAAAAGCGTATAAACGTGATATTTTGAACAGCTGTTAATGTCGTCTTTGCCTCTCTGCTTGGGGAAAGAATAGTTACATATCAGTGATGTGAACTGAATGTTAAGGTTTGATGAAAGATATTTCTGGTAAAAAGCGAAGTCAGTCTTTCACTCTGTGTGTAGAAGTTCTATTAATAGAAGGCATTTGAGAAATGAGGTAGTTGTTTGTATAGTTATAAAAGACCAACTCGAGGCAAAAATTGGATGGCACTGAAATTAATGGGAATTTTGCTATTAATTTCAATCATGAAAAGAATTCACGTTTTCAAGAAGGACCATAAAGACGTCCTGTAAAACAAAAAGCCATAGTTTGGCTTAGGGTGTTGAGAGGAGGACAGACAAATTGTTATTTGTGGTAGCTAGTTTCAGTCCTGCAAATACTGTGTCTTTGAGTCCATTCACAGAGTCTGCTCTCACTGATTGAGGCTGTCAGTATTTAGGGGAACACAAGAAATCTAAATGGTAATGGCGCAGTAGCAGCCTTCTGGATAAAGGCTGTATTTTGACACCCAGACCAGCCTCTTTTAAAACGCTCTATCATTTACACAGTGTTGTAGTATGTGGACTGAGAGCGCTACATACCTTGATGCCAGGATTACAATTTCCTAACAAAATATGAAGTAACGTTTCTTTCATACTCTACTATCAGTACTTTGGGGCTTTTAACTTACTGTTGGTTTCTGTTCACTTTTTAAATGAATTGCATCAGCTATATCAGTAGCAGTAAATTGTAATCGTTTATACTGAAGGTCAGAAGAAATCTGCAGTTCTTCATTCTGGTACTGTATGTTTCAGCAGCTGTTCCACTGCAAGAGAAGAAGCCGGTATTTTAATAAATAGATACCGAATCTTTTTCTACGGCAAAATATTCCCTTCATCTTCCGTCATTAGCTTTCCATGTACATAAATATAACAGACTTGTACCAGCTACCTGTTAGTTACCAGGCAACAGCAGCATTTGACACCGCCTGCAGCTGCAGTGAATGGTGTGCAACTCCCCCCGATTGTGGATTAAAATGCTCTGAATGTTGAACTGAGGTTGATAAAAAGGACGCTAATGCAACTATAACGTGACTTTCACTGTAGCAGCAATGTGTCAGCAGTTTCTATAACAACATCGTTTTGCTGAGATGTAGCCCTCTATCAC